ATAGATAGATAGATAGATAGATAGATAGATAGATAGATAGATAGATATAGAAAAAGAGAGATGAATGGATGGATGAATGGATGGATGGAAGGACAGAGAGATGATAGATAAATGATAAATATATTGAGAGATGATAGGGAAAGATTGATAGAAGATAGATGGATAGGTAGAAAAAGAGAGAGTGGTGGATAGATAGATGATAGATAGATAGATAGATAGATAGATAGATAGATAGATAGATAGATAGATAGATAGATAGATAGATGATAGATAATAAAATATTTACATCTTCCCATGTTCTGGCACAGAAAACCTGGATGGCTCTCTCTACAGTGGCCAGTGGACTAGTGACAGTCAGGTTCAGAAATCGGAAAGTGTAGTAATACGCTGAAAAGGCCTGGAAGATTTTAAAACAACATATAAACATCCCAATGGGGATTTCTCACCATGTCTGCAACAGGGTGGAGATCGTAAAATGGGGCAAGACTCCACCAATGCCTCCATTTTGCCCTCCCTTGTAGTCGTGAAGTCGAGAGCTATCCCTAATCGCGGGGATAAATGCCCCCTAAAACTGAATTCCCCCACCCAGGAATTCAAAATGCGTTAGCAAAAGCTCTCCTACCAGAAACTTCCCGTTGACTCTTGGCTGGTAGATTCCTTCAAAGCCGCAGGATGAGGGATCTCGGCAGCCGGAGAAGTTGAAGATGGCTTTGAACTTCTCCCGGCAAAGGCTAGAATTCCCTTTGCCCACCAGAGTGACGTTGGACGGAGAGGTGGTGGCGGGCAGAGGCTTGACGCAGGGGTTGTCAGAGAGGGAGGCCGCCTGTACCTCCTCTTCGTAGCCTTTTGGGTAGCAGGGGTGAGCCACCTCAACGCTGGGGCTTCCACTCTAAAAGCAACATTCATAAATGGTCGGGCACGGAAGACGAGATCCATAACGGTAGAAGGTCCCACTAAACCTTGTGAGCAAGGAGGAGACAGCAAGGAGCCTGGGCGTGGCTTAGCTCGACTGTCGTGTACTAAAACTGTTTGGTGCTGATGTGAAACTGAAACTGAAACTCCTCTCCGTGGCTTGTGTTTTGCCTATGGAACTTACTTCCTACGGCAGCAAAATGTGGAAATAATGGACAGACTAGGGCAGGGACCAACTAATCGCCAGAACTACCGGTTTGTCCAAACCGGTCCAAACCGTCAGAATCCCACCCCTGCTTCCAAGCCACCTTCAGGAGGATTACTTACAAGAATCAACCGGATCACCCGTTGGAAAGCTTGGTTTTGGCCGTAGCAGAGGTAGCTGTGGCTATAGATGTTGTAGTCAAAGCCGTAGAGGCGAAACTGGACGGCTTCGGAAGGATCCGCGATCAGACCAGCGGGGATGAAACTGATCTGGGTGGAGGCTCCGCCGAGGTCCAGAGCTCCCAGGATATTGGCCGAGGGAGGACGGATCCAGTCTCGCTCTTTTGCAGAGTACTGCAGGGAGAAGATTAGAATGGGATAATAGAGTTGGAAGGGACCTTGTAGGTCATCTAGTCCAACCCTCCCCCTCTTAGGAGACCCTAAGCCATTTCTGACAGATGGCAGCCCAGTCTTGAAAGCTTCCAGGGTTGAAGCTCCCACAACTTCTGAATAACAGAATAATAAGAGAAGAACAGAGTTGGAAGGGACCTTATAGGTCATTTAGTCCAACCCCCACCCAAGCTGGAGACCCTACATCATTTCTGACAGATGGCAGTCCAGTCTCTTCTTGGAAGCCTCCAGGGATGAAGCTCCCTCAACATCTAAACATCTAGCTGTTCCATGGCTTGACTGTTCTCACTGACAGAAAATTCCTCCTTATTTCTAGGTTGAATCTCTCCTTGATCAGTTTCCATCCGTTGTTCCTTGTCTGGCCTTCAGGCCTGAGATTAGGGTGAGGTTCATGGTGGAAATCAAGGTTTAAGAATCAAGTCAACGTAGGCGGTGTCTCAATTGTCTTGGTGCGGGACATGGACAATCTCACCTCTCTTCAGCTGGGCCAGGAAGCTATGAAGAGGAGATAGCTAACCAATTGCTGCCTCTTTAAGAAAGCCAGATTCCATTCCTAACGCTTCTGGGTGAGGAACAGCAAGGGTGAAGAGCAATTTCAAGGTCTAAAGCCCATCTCATCCCAAAGAG